GGAACACTCTCCCTCTCCTTTTCTCTCCTACTCTATCTCCATCCCCAATCTCTCTCTCTCTCTATCTCCATCCCTCCCCCTCTCTCTCTCTATCTTCCCCCTCTCTCTCTATCTTCCCCCTCTCTCTCTATCTTCCCCCTCTCTCTCTCTATCTCCCTCCCCACTCTCTATCTCCATCCCTCCCCACTCTCCATCCCTCCCCACTCTCCATCCCTCCCCACTCTCTCTCATTACAAGTATTTTTGTTGATATTTTATTTTAAACTGTAATTGGATCACTCATATTGCAGCTAGATCAGTGAAATTCAGTAATTGCATGCATGAATATTCGAGTGCGCACACATAGTTACCAACACACTCGTTCATAGACACACAAATACTTACAAATCCATGCACACTCACTTTTATTCATATTTACCAAGCTCAGCCTAGTTTGTTCTGTGTTGGGGCACCCAGCCAAAATTAAACTCACTACAGTAGTAATAGCCTGTTAGTCACACTTGTTAATCACTGCATTATAGCAAGATTCCCAATGGTTTGTTAAATCAATAAGAAATATATAAATTATATAATTGTTAAAATTTGCTATATTTATAGAGGAAAAATTCTCAGTATCAGAGAAATAGACTGTTTATAGGTATAGATATATATACTATATATATATATATTTAAGAGGCACAGTAGAGTAGTAGATAGCAGCTCAGATTGAGGAATCAGAGAGCCGAGTTCAAATTCCAGTTGAATCCATTACATTCACTTATGTGCTAATACTCTTGGGAAAGGTATTAATCCTCTTCTTCTTCTTCCTCCAGCTATGGGTAAATAGCAGATTGGGTTCTATAGCCTTGGATGGCAACTGGTCTAGGAGAAGGACAACTCTAAATTCAAAACATGCGGAGGGTCATTTGCGGACATTGTGGCATGTAGTGCACCAGGTCTCTGTATTCAGCCCTTCAAAAAGTGTGGTTGGTTCTGCACAAAGCCTTCACCACTATAATCAAGTCATATGTGCTGGTGCCTGGGCTGTCGGTTCCTAGGAACTGAGCTGTTTGACCCTCATATGTCAAATACGATAGGAAAGTCCAACATATATAGCTATCTATATTTTTTATTCTATATATACAACTATCTCTCTCACTCTCTCTCTCTCTCTATATATATATATATATATATATATATATAGAGAGAGAGAGAGAGAGATAGTGTGGACATACAATCAACACTGCATCACTATGTCCATTTCATGCCTCAATGTGATTATCATGCCAAGAACACTGTCTATATCAATAAACACTCAATTTCCAATATTGAGCTCAGTCCCCCTATAAATATAGCTAATTTTAAGCCATGTACATATGTATTTATGTAGAGAGATTATTTGGGCAGCAAATTTGTCTATTCCATTTAATTAAACACACATTTTTTTAACAATATTATAATTTAGTTTTTAAATGTGTTACTGTATGTAAGTGAAAATGGTTTATAACTTCAAGAGATATACATTTAAATATGTCTTTTTTTTTTTTAATTGTTAAGAGTGACAATTTGACACTGTATAAGGACCAAGATTTTATGTATTGACTGAGAAAAAATTATTAAAGCATAGAAAAAAAAACAAACTCCATTAAATTCAATAAATTATCAGTTAATATATATATTTTAATATATTTTTTTATGTTTTTTTTTATAGATACAACTTATTTGAGTAAATGCTCTATTTTAATTAAAATAGTATTAATTACATTTAACTGCTTGAATATTTGAGAAATCTCACAGAAAATATGTGTCCTCCAACAAGAATTGAACCTGTATACCATACAGGAGTTGTCATTTGGCCTGATGTGCAGTTAACCATTGAGCCACAGAGGACTTCCAGTTTAGCAAAGTTAAAATTACTTCTTTATAAGCAGTAATGTGTTATAAGCAGTAATTTGAACACATCGGTCCAAATGATGGTTTTCATATGGGATACAGGTTTGATTCCTGTTGGAGGATGCATATTTTCTGCACGATTTCTCAAATATTCAGGATGATAAATGTAATTAATATTGTTAATTAAAACAGAGCATTTACTCAAATAATTTGTATCCATAAAAATAATGTATAAACAGAAAATATATTAAAATATTTGCCGGATTTAATTCATTACATACATATACACACACACACATATATAGTGTATGGGTAAAAAAAGGGGCATAAAATTCTGAAATTGTATCATTATCTCAGATATTATATACCTTAAAATTCCTACACTCAGTCACTAGTATTATTATTATTACTGAGCAGCATGCCCACATAGTGATGCTGGGGTACAAATATATGAAGTCCATTATATTTATAACATCTAGACTGATAAGGCTATGTCAAGTACACGCATTACTGCTAAATATACACAATATGGTGACAGGTTTTGATAAAAGTAGCACATAACTTTGTAGTTGAGGCCCAATTAGAAATACCTTCAGGTATAGTAGTCTACTCAGGTGATTGATTGAGGTTGTTCCAAATATCTTGGTCTGTTAATTGACAAGTAAACCTGTGGCACTGAAGAGGATATTTATTTTATTATTATTAGTAGTAGTAGTAATAATAATATATACTTACATATTCAGTTAGTTATGTGCCATGCGTGATACATGCTTAGGTGATCATGTATCTTTCGATACATAACTGACAAGGCAGATTTTTTTTTCCCCTGCAGTAGGTTGCTATTTCTTTCTGCGGTAGATCAGTTGTCATCCAAGGCTATAGAACCCAATCTGTCCTGTTATTTACCCATAGTTGAGGGTAGAAGAAGAGGATTCATACCTTTCCCAAGGGTATTAGCATGTAAGAGAATGTAATGGATTCAACTGGAATTTGAACTTGGCTCTCAGGTTCCTCAATCCGAGCCACTATCCATTACTCCACCATGCCTCCTTTTATATTACTTAGACTTAATATATATTCATTTTATTATTATTATTAGTAGTAGTAGTAATAATAGTGAAAACAGTTGCAGAATTTATTTCTATTAAACATTAGTTATTCTTCAGTTGCAGGTTAAGATGCTTTTTATGATTTTGCTCAATAATATCAGCTTCCATTCAAAACTTTTTCAACCATGTAACACACACACACACACACACACACACACACACACACATTGTTATTGCATGTATTGAGAAGGTATTAAAGAATAAAATATAGAGAATGCTCAACTTTGTATTAACATTTTTTGCATAGTTGACATGTATATTTGATGAATACTTAATGGATTTATTGTACTGACAAAGTAGATTTCACAGCCTGCTTTACCAGTTTGTATGTTCAAGTGATTAACTGAAGAGTAGAACTAGTGACATTGAATTTTATGATCCATAAAAAACAAAATACATCACAAGTTTTTTAAAAATAATATTATTTATAATATATTCACTTTTTAAGGATTACTTATAATTAAAATAGGTTAGTGGTGACAATTTTTCTACAGATTTTTAAAATTTGTTTTCTTTTGAATATTTATTTTCTACCTGTAAGTCAGCCAAAATGAGAAAATCAAAAACAATTTTGAAATCCCAAAAAAAAAAAAAAAAAGCAAATATAATCAGAAATTTAAAAAAAAAATGTATAAATAATAATTTTCTTTTTGGTATAGCTACAGAATATTCAGTCTTGGAAAGATGCACAGCGCCCTGGATATCTTCCCGCACATAATGAACCGGTTCCCCAAATCCACTTTTCCTCCCTGGCTCAACTTCCAGATGCCTCATTTTACCTCATTGTAAGCCACTTAATTCCTTGTGTTATCACAGATTTTGGATGGACTGTTATATAGTTCAAGTCTTTTTGAACATTGAGCAGAACACTGGAACAACTTTTGTGAAGCTCATGGTCACTTGCAGCAGCATTTTGTTTCTTTTAAAACCTTTCAAATTTTGTATTAAATCATTTGTATTATTTTCCTCTTTGTGTTTTTAAAAACTTGTGAAACAAGAAAAATTAAATAATGAAGATTTTATTTAGCAATGAAATAAAAATTAAATGAATAAAAATTTCTCTACATTCACTACACGAGTTCATATTTTGAAAATCTTTCAATTCTTCTGATTAATTTGCCTTTTTTTATCTAAAGGAGATTAAACCAACTTAATCCTATTTTCTTTTCACTGCAAATGATTTTCTCTACAAATCCTAGAAATACTAAACAGTATTAAAAAGTTCAGCATGGATTATTTCAACCACTTTATAATCTTCCAGTTATTTCAATCATAGGCTTAGTGGTCATGTTCAGCTTGTTTCTCATTTTTTTTTATAGTAAGGAGGCATGGTGGAGTAATGGATAGCGGCTTGGATTGAGGAACTGGAGAGCTGTGTTCGAATTCTGGTCAAATCCATTATGCTCACTTACATGCTAATACCCTTGGGAAAGGTATGAATCCTCTTCTTCTCCCTCCAGCTATGGGTAAATAGCAGAATAGACTGGGTTCTATAGCCTTGGATGGCAACTGGTCTACTGCAGAAAGAAATGGCAACCTATTGCGAAAAAAAAAAAAAAAAAATCTGCCTCGTCAGTCATGTATCAAAAGATACATGATTGCCTAAGTGTGTATCACGCATGGCACATAACTGACTAAAGTACAAGTGTAAAGGTACAATATGTTAGGGTTTAGAATTTCTCTTTCTTTCCCTCCATCTCTGAGAATAGTGCTTAAGAACAAAGCAATCTTGGCTACTGTAAAAAAAAAAAAATGAAAATGTATTTTTGGCACAGCTTGGTTAGTGGCATTATACCTATAACAATGAATAGAAATTCTAGTTGGAAGTGGTCAGCAAATAAATTATCAGCTTCAAACAGTAAATCTGAAAGAACTTCTTTCTCGAATATTGTTCAACATCTCCAGTGGTCTCCAAGCCATCAATGTACTGCAGTGATTCCGTTTTTACCAGACCAAAGATCTAGCACAATTTCATGCATTGCTTGTCTTTATTCTAATTTTGTCCTTTGTTCTATTACAGAAAAAAACCTGGAGAGGCCAAAATTTCGAAACCTAAAGTCCTTGAACAGTATGAAGCAATCTTTGACTATCAGAAGCAAGCCAAAGATCAAGTGGATCTGAAAGTGGGTCAAAGTGTTCAAGTCATTGAGAAATATGAAACTGGTGAGTTATGTCCCCTTTTTAACCTTCACTCTCACTTCACCCTGAAGAATACGGGGGCCTCAGCTCTCAGCATGCTAGGCATTACTGCTATGGTTTTTACAAGATGTAATTGCTAGCCTCATACCCAACCGGTTTTGAATTCAGAGTTGCCTTTCTCCTCGACTGGCTACTGGTCATGGCTAAAGAGCCCAGTCTTTCCTTCTATTTAACCCATAATTGGGGGGAGAAGAAATGGATTCATACCTTTCCCAAGGATATTTGTATGTAAGTGAATTCAATATACTGGAATTTAACCTTGTCTCTCTGACATCTCATTCGAAACAGGGGCTTAAATATTTTTATTTATTAAGTCTTATTTGTCTCTCTTTATGCAATATATTATTCCACTGCTACTTTTTTCAATAAACATTGCAAGCCCCTTGTTGCTCTCTTACTATTTCCACGGATCAACTACATTCCTTAGTTCCACCAGTTTTACTTTATACGATGATGTTCACCTTGTACAAGGCCAATGAGCCACTCTAAGTAGAGGGTTACAGAATAAGAGGCTCGGTTTATGGGGATATGTGGGGAAGATAGCAGTTAACCCTAGACTTGAACAGGCTAAGATTGTAATGATTGGGGAAACATTCTCTTGGTTGTCTGTTCCATAGAGTAGCAGTTCATGGAAAGAAGCTGTTTGAATGGAATGGAATGTGGCTGGTTTGCTACAATGTGTATAGCATGGCAGATTTCAGCCATGATGGTTTGAACTGGTAAAACTGAGGAATGTACTTCATGCAAACATTTTCCTTGTAAATAGTGATAGAGCAGTGAGAAGTTTGCGATGTTTTGTCTGTCGGAAGGCAGGTTGTAGGGTGGAAAATAGTTCATCACCGATAAGGATGCAGAGACGCTGTGGCTAAGAACTTAGTTAGAAATTACAACATAGTAGGTTACAATTGTATTACGTAATGACAAATGTAGGAATTGCTATGCTAGAAATAGTTAAAGATCAATCAAGCAAATCAAGCAGATGTTAGAATTCAGTTATAGTCTGGTTAAGTAGAAATTTAAAAAAAAAAAAAAACATTTATTACAAAAGTTCCCTTTCTTATAAACAGGTTCCTGGCTTTTGTTTATGTCCAAATGTTTGTAAGAACATCACCATCACCATCATTATCATAATAATAATTGTCGTCATCATAAAAAAAAAAGTAAAAAATGAAAATAAAAAAATAAAAAATAAAAATGAAAATAAAAAATAGAAATGAAAATAAAAAATAAAAAATGAAATAAAAATAAAATAAAATAAAAAAAATTGAAAGAAAATAAATAAAAAAAATAAATAAAATAAAAAATAAAAAAATAAATAAATGAAAATAAAAAATAAAAGAATAACAAAAAAAAAAAAAAAAAGAAGATAACTATAATGTTACCAGACTTACTTTATTCCAGACACTGCCTTGCCTTTTGGAACTAACGTTAAAAAAAATTTAAACAGGAAAAACTTTTCAAAGTAGTTATTTCAACTCTTTTTAATTGACATGAAAAAATTTTATCAATCTTTGTATATTTCTTCTCTGGTATCTACTCTTGTTGTTGTTATTTCTTACTTGTTTTAAAGTTTTGCTACTCAATTTGAACAATATTCATCGAGACTGACTAAAAATTACAGCATTATATGTTAAAGTTTTAATAATAATAATCTGATATTTAAACAAAGTATCGGATATGGAAACAAAGAAGAATTTCTTTATGGACAAAAAAGTGACTCTTTTTAAAGAAGATAAAATCTGAGCTTAGGTGTCTGTAACATACATATTTGTGAAAATGTCAGATAACCACAAAAAACATCATGAAACCAGAGAAATAAGTCTATTATGTTTTGAACAAATATTTGTCAAATGGAAAAGAGATTGTTATAAATGGAGTGGGGTGGGGGTGAATCAGAAAATGTAACAAATCAGGAGTGGTTAATAAATGGAGGTGGGTGGGGAAAATGAGGAAATCTAATAAACAAGTGGTTTTAATTAATGGGGCTGTTCAGAAATTATTTAAAAAATTTCAAATTATAACAAGACCTTGAAATTAAACTAAAAGTAAATATATCTATTAATGGACATTATTTAAGTATTTTTTTTTTAACAAAATTGAAAATATTTTCATAAAGTCATGCCAAAGTTACAATATACATAAATGCCCATAAAAAAAAAATGTAAAAATTAACAAGCAATTGGGGCCCTAATAAACTGTTGGAAAAAATCCAAATATTAACAAGCAAGGTAGGCATGTTTATTTTGTACCTGAGAGTATAGTAATACCATTTGTTGTACCTGAGAGTATAGTAATACCATTTGTTGTACCTGAGAGTATAGTAATACCATTTGTTGTACCTGAGAGTATAGTAATACCATTTGTTGTACCTGAGAGTATAGTAATACCATTTGTTGTATGATGGTCAAGCTTCCAAATTTAAAAATGAGCTTGTTTCTACCTTGAACATTTGTAAGTAAAGTATTACTTGTAATAGTTTTTCTTTGTTGACAAAATGAAGCTTTAGCTCTGAGTTCATTGAGCAAAAAGGTTGGATTTTCACTGCCCGCAAATCTGATAATCAAAAAATAGTGTTTTAATTTTTCAGTTGTGTTGTCATGTTCTGCTATGACAACAGCAAAAATAATTTTGATTAAAATCAACAATGAGGCTACTGCAGTTTAGGAGTCTTGAAAAAGAATGCAGTGAAAGAGTAAGTAAAAATCTTGAATAATGCAGAGTGTATGAAAAAGATTGTTATTATTAATTTTGAATATATAGTCAGCTTTTCATTGTATTTTAAGAAGAAAACAATTCCATTTTTCTTATTCTTTAGAACGATTACACAATCCTAGTTGTATTATTGATGATTATGGATGGAATTAGAATTTATGATATTTTTCTTTTGTAATAAGTATGGATAACTTTTACTTTTATTATAAAAAAAAGTAGCTGATTATTTGTGATAAATAAAAATAGTATTTTGTTAAAAAAACATAATATATATAAAATAATACAATGACAACTGAGCAGTACTAAAAAAATAGTAAGATGAGACATTCCGAGACCTGGACAGTGGGACAAGAACAATCTATCTCTGTAGATTTAAATAAAGGGTTCATTTTGAATTTCCCTAAAGAATAACAAGATCAACAGACACTTAAAGAAGGCTACAAAGTACATTGGCTGAAACGGGATAATGACAAAGATGAGTCTGAATGTAAATAATGATAACTCCTTATTCTAGAAATTATAATATATACAGTATTTTAATATTCAACAATAATATGAAAAACGATAAAATTTTACTTATAGCTTATAAACCTGTTACATAAAATAAATGAAGCAGGATAATTGAATTTCATCGTAACAATGTAATAAAAAATTTAAATCTAAATATGTTCTCTTTTTGGCCATATAGTTTAATTTTATTCCTTCTCATTGTGATTTTTTAGTAAAATGGATTCTAAGATTCAGAAGTTTTTGTACAGATACAATTAAGTTACATCTGTTAGTAATATTAATAAATATATATAAATTAATTACTGTAAATAATAATGTTTTAAACTATAATTTTTATCCTTCATGAAAGCTAAAACAAACGAAAAAAAAAACTACTGAAAAATCGACCCCAAAATATTGAATCCAGATACCTTATCTTAGTAAAAAATTATTGTAAAATTACAACAGAATTAATTTTAAAAGAATTTAAGTTTAATGGTGGAAAATCATTAAATAGCAATGTAATCAAAATTATACTTAAAAAGGCTGCAGATTTTTACTTCTTCAACAGCTTGTATCTAATTATTTAGAAAGCATTCAGCCTATTTTTGTTTTAGGAATATTCAGATACAAGAAGAAACAAGTTAAATTATTTAATTTAAATAAATAATTTTTTAAAACTTAGTTGATCAAGTTTTATACAATTGCACAAAATTGGTGATCAATTAAATTTGTAATGAGTTTTTGAGTGAAATTTCAAAACAAGTTACACTGATAATATACTGCTATACTATTTAGTACTTACTTTTTAACTTGTTCTGTGTAATTTTAATATGAAGTTCATTATCAAAATTCTTACAGCAAATGAACTCTGTATTTTTAAGGCATACATTTGTGGTAAAATTAAAAAAAAACACCTTGTGACAATGCAGTCCCAAGATTTCAGTGACTTCATATACAAAAAGACAATAGAAAATAATAGACTTGAACAAAAAAGATAAATGCTACAGTGATTGACCTGCAACATTTTATCCAACATTGAACAAAATTTTCCAAACAGTTACTGTTAATGAAATTGTGTAATTATATATTATAGCAATTTTCTTACATGATACAATATTTGAAAATGTTTTTTTTTTTTCCAAAAGCAGGTTTTAAACATTTCTAGAAAGTAATATTTGGTTTTCAAACCAAGATTTGGATGTGTAACAGGTAAATAGGTTTGTCTTGTTTAAACTGACAGTTTAAATAAAAAATTTTCCCTTCTGTACTTAGACAAAAAATAAACAATTTTGACTGATGTTTTCATCTCACTTTGTTTTACTTTGAGTCACCAGTGGTGATAGCTCAATGGTTAGGTCACTAAATTAGATACCAAGAGGTTTAGAGTTGCAATTTGTTTTATCTCTCTCTCTCTCTCTCTATATATATATATATATATATATATATATATATATATATATATAATTTCACTATACAAAGGGAGTTTTAAACTATAAAGAAAATAATTTACTTGTATGTGTGAGCAACAGTTGTGAAATCTGTATAGATAACATTCAGTTTGAACTTGATTATTAAATTTTATGAAACATTTTGTCTCATTATAAAGCTACATATATGAATCTTAGCTTTATGTATGGTAATGTCTTATATGAAATATTTTGTTTTACAAAAATAATAGCAACATTTAAGTAATTTTTCAATTTCATTAGTAATATTTTCTGTATGAATAATCTAGGCTTTTTTTCTATGCAATTAACTCTAAGAAAGTATTCTCCTTTTTAATTCATTAAAAGTAAAAAATATCCAAAGAAGGCAAATATGAACGAAAAAGAATAAAGAGTAATGTATTAGCAGCCTGATCTCCCCAACTTACTAATAGAATAGTTTTTTTCATTATGGTAGCAGAAGGCATCTCTCTTTATTGTTGTTGAAGAATTCCTCCTATTATCATAACACTGGAATATTTATGTTACTAAGAACTGTAGATCAGGCTCCATGATTGATAAAGATCTAAAGTCACGATCCATTTTTATATTATAGAACAAATACTTTCCAGTTCAGTTACCAATCAATGATCATGAAGTCTTTTTAATTAAAATACTAAATATGTTACTTTTTAAAGTTTGTATTTTAGCAGACAGCCTCAATAGATAAATCATTTGTTCAATAATTTATAGATGTATACTCTATTTAGTTGCTTTTTTATATAAAAGTACAATCACATTAATCCAGATTGCTTTTCTGATATATAGATAGAAATGTAAAAGGAAGACTGAAAACAGCCGCGACTAAAAAGGTACAGACTACAAAAAAGTGCTCAATACAAGATTGAATACGTAGAGCAAAGATATTTAAGAAAAGGCTAAAATGTCAACCAAGCAAGCAAGCGACCAACCTATATATATATATATATATATATATATATATATATATAGCAACAAATATTTAGCATGTTAATATGATCTTTTGGCAGTCTCAACCTACCATTATTCTTTCATCCATTGATTTGGTTAGCTTTTCGACTTTAACATTACTTACAACAGATTTTATTCCTTCTCAGGTGTTTTCTACTGAATTCATATTTAGAAAGGGAGAAGGCCATTTCATTAATTTGGTGTCATTAAAACCATTATTTGTAAAGTGGACAATAATCAGTTTTTTACAGACTGTGAAGCAGCATTATTTGCATGTAAAAGGTGTTCCAATAACGTGGACCAATTTTAAATGTGAATTAAGTTTAAGCATCTAATGATTTTTTTTTTCTTTTTCTTTCAGATTTAACAATTTAAGTCTTTGGCAATTTTAGTTTCTAATGTGTTTTTATCAGTTAGATATATCAGTTTACAATATCTTTTCTTTGTTCCAACCATGGCAATCTTTATATGTTTGAAATTAAAAAGTAAAGATTAATAACCATGATATTAAAATTGAAGTGAAAATTCCAGAAAAATTGGACTTAAATTTTTTTGAGATATCGAAGTTTTAATTTTGGAGAGGGCATTAAGCAGGGGATGACTGATAACTGACATTCATTAGACATGGCATGTGGAACTAGAACAGTCTACCCCAGTGAGCGAAATAAAGGGTTCAGTTCAACATACTAACCACCTGAAGAAGGCTGGAGCATACAACGGCTGAAACGTTGTAATAAATTTGGCAACAAAGATGTGGACAATAGTTCGAATAATGTAAATAGTGTACATAATACCTTATCTCAGAAATATAGACTGATACTGGTTAGTTAATACCAATAGTATTGTGAAAACATTAACTTGCATAATAAAATCTGACATAAAGTAATGATTCTGGTGGGGATCAGTTTATTACTTAATAACAATAGGAAATAGATCCCCCAATTTATGTCCAATAGAAACTTATATTAATATTTAATGTAAGTATATTTGGAAAATTGGATAGTTAATAGCAATTTGATATAATTCAAGTCATGCATTTTTTTTTTACACCCCAGAAAAGAAAAAGAAAATAATGCCTATATCTGATTAGACACATTATTTTATATAAAACATTTTCTTACGCCTACATTTTCTTTTTACCCACATCAATTAACAGGTGTGAAATTAATCATCTGGTATTTTTGTATAGAACCTAACAATCTAATGTTACATATACAAGAAATGACACAAGTGTGATTTTTTTTTTTTTTTTTTTTTGTTGGTATAAAATCTTTAGCAGAGTTCTAAGTTTATTAGTATAATTACCTCAGTAGAGTTAATTGGCCAATGACTCACTTAACCTTGGATTGTTCTCTCCGTACAGCAGCTTTTTGCTTTTATTATTGGTAGATAAGTACATCTTAGTGAATTTCTGTCTTGTTAATTATCTTGTTAATTTGCAGTTTTCATTTTATTATTTGTGCTTCTTTCTAATACTATAACTTTTTATGGCTTTACCTTTTGACACAACTATAGCGACAGGTTTGCCTTTAGCAAAAACAGTTTGTATCTGTTCAAAGACTATACTTTGGTTGTCAAACATTATGGCAGTTGCTTATCACTACTTTTTCTCTAAAAACAAATCTGTAGCCTTCTGCCAAACTTGGTAGGACCAAGTAAGGCCATTTCTGTTCTGTACTGAAGGCAATAAAGAATGCAACATCTGCTCCGTATCTTGGTTTGGACATGTTGTTAGAAGAGTGGATTGATCCCTGCTTCACCGGTTTTAGATTTATGGTAGCATATAAAATTGCAAGGTTTTTAGATCAAGAAAGATGAAAATTGAACATTTTAGATATCAAGGAACTCTGTAACCTAAAATATCTGATTGTATTTTCTCTTCTTCAATATAAAAGAATTTGAGTAAGCAGCCACAATAAAAAAATAAATTTAGAGAGAAATCATTTCAGATGGTATTTGATATTGTAGAACAAAGAAAACTGTCTGTGTTATGTCTTATTTTTTTCTATTTTACCTTTTTGATTTCAGGCTGGTGGTTGGTAAACACAGAATATGAAGAAGGTTATGCTCCAGGAACCTTTCTTCAAAAGACTGATGGCCAAGAAGAAGAGCAAATGTTCACTTGTAATGGTAAGATATTCTTTTATCTACAAAAATCCAGCCAATGCACTCACCCAATATACATTCCCTATAGTAGAAGTTTTCTTTTTCAACTACCTATACATTTACAACCTTTACATACATCATTAAATTCCAACCTTTTACAATTGCCTATAAAAACATTTTTTTTTAAATAGCAAGAACTCATAAACAGGTTGTAAATGTGGTTTTGAAGATGTTAATTAAATAAATTATCTATTGTTTCTGTTTCAGGTGAGAAATACATTTGTATTCAGAGCTACACAGCAGAGGTACCAGACGATCACACTCTTAATATTGGGGCTGAGGTAGAAGTACTCCAAAAAAGTTTGGATGGATGGTGGTGGGTTCGGTAAGTAATATTTTCTCCTTTTGTTTTTATCTTCTGGAACATGGAAAGTTTCTATTTCTTAAATAGGCAGAGAATGTAATCTGAGAAAAACTACAAAAAGGTCCATTAGTCTTAATAGTTTAGATATATAGATTTCTTTTCACTGTTGAAGAGTATCATGGAGAGATATGAAGAAGAAAGTTTTTTTTAAAAAAAAATGTAACAGAAAAGGTAGAAATTTTAAAACTTGGAGATTATTAATTCTCTCATGAAATGAAACTGTTCAAATTTCTGAATGATTTTAGCTTAAATGTTGCTTGAGCAGATATTTGTTGATAGCTTTATGGAAGAAGAATAATTAAAGCGTTTTTAAAACGTAAAAACAGTTATAATGTTTTCCATGTTATTAAAACTAAACAGTTTACAAAATGTTTTCTTTAGAAATTACTACTGATCCCAAAGAAAGTCATTAGACTGATTTGAACAAACAGATAAGTTTCAAGTTTACTTTCACTGTCAACCTTCAGGGATATGAACAATTTTTAGATATCCACTCAATAACTAATACTTTCCCTGCTGCATTGTTATTGCATTGTTGCCTGGCTGTACTGGTCCATTTTGGGAAAAATAGAAAGTTACCATTTACTAAAAATAAATGACTATAAAGACACTGACAGTAATTTCTCATGAGTGTTGACATTTTGGTTTCAATAGGATATTCTGAAGTACATACTAAGCTAAATGACACCCATATTGGTTTGAAATAGCATAAAATGATATTAGGTTTATAGCACATACACTAGAGACTAACATTACATAGTGTTTTGAAAACATATATAAACATCAACAGCAGGCAATGTAAGTTTTGTAAAGCAGTACATCTTGAAAATGTATCCATACAACACCATACAATGTAAGTTTTGTAAAGTAGTATAAATGTGCCCACAACAGCAGAAGTTTTAAATTGATGTGTATTGAATGTTTGGAAGTGATTGGTTTGGGGAAGTTCTGAATATTTTTATTTTTGATAGTTGCTTTTTGGGGTACCTCTTGAATTATTCTAACTTGAAGTTTTGTCAGTTTTTATGTTTTCAATTAAAGTAATGTATTTTTTCATTCAATCTGTTTTTTCTTTTGAGAACTAACGAATCTTAATCTGAAATACAATTTTTTAAACTCCCATTAATAAGAAGTATAAACTAAAAGTAATTAACTATTTACTAGTATTCTTGGTAATGATGAAATGACAATGGTGACATCTTGGATTCTATTAGGTTGGTGCAAAAATAATGTCGTTTTTTTTGACGTGAAGTTGAACGTCAAAAAACGACATTATTTTTGCACCAACCTAATAAAATTCTTGTTGCCATTCTATATATCTTCTCCGTATAGAGCAATAAATCAACAGGATTTGAATTTCCTTACTGGAAATATTTTTAACCATTCATTGTCAACTTTGAAATTTCTTTGATTGTTTTTTCCAGTTATAAAGGGAAAATAGGATGGGCTCCTGCAACCTGCCTGAAGGTAGCAGATTCTATTTCAAGACACTCTGCAAATATTCCAGTCGAAATTGTCAGTAATCTGTCTGATGTGAGCAAGTTGCTCAAAGGAAATGATACAACTGCAGACTCACCAATGACAGTTTCTCAGAGACCAAAATCCGCAGCAGAGACCTATACATATTTCTCCTCTGCTAGTGTCCAAGACAGTGATAACTATGAGGAAGTTGAGGAGAGCCATTATTCCCATATAAATTCTATTTATGGCAATACATCTCATACTGTAGTCCCTCCACCTCGTCAGAAATCAGTGAGTTTGATTTTTTTGTTTTGTTTTTATTTTTTATACCACTTTAATCCATTTTTTTTAACCCACTGTTAATACTGTGGGGCATTATCATTGTATTATTAACATGGCATTTGCAAACACACCATTTAAAATATCATTAAGTTAAATCATTAATTCTTAATTTTCTTGTTATATATTGTCTTTATTGTACTTTTTGATTAAACTCAAATTAAAAGGCCGATATTAAAAAAAGAATTTCTAAGTTTCAAAAATTAAAATATGCAAAAATAGGTTTAATTTTATTCTCAGTAAACAAATAAAACTGATTCAAACAAGAAATTCCTTGTAGTTACTTGATCGAGGTGTTCAAAAAATTACTTCACTAATCATGGAAATTTGACTTGCCAGTTTCTAAATATTAAGGAAAAACATTTTGTAGAGTATTAAACAGTTCATGGTATTAATGGAGGGTTAAAGATATTTAAAATTTCTTGGATCTCACCACATACTCATTTCAATCTATGATTTTTTTTTTCTTTTCTGAGAAAAAGTTTAGTTACAAACACTTAAGCTACGTTTATTATGTCTGTTTCTTTTTTAATCTAATCTTCCTAATGATGTCTTTAGATGAACAAATAAGATAGAGAAATAAATAAGGAAAATGGTGAAATCTTTATAAAAGATTACACTGTTTTCATTTCATATTTATGGAGAAGAGCTGCTAGCGCTGTGTAAGTGATATTAATTTGTTTTTATCTTTTGATAAAGTCAAATAGTTTATTTGTTGTATTTTTGCTTCCTCATCATTATAAAAGGAAAGTAAACTTAGCAAACAATTATCATTATTTTTCAATTTCCCAGATTTTTATTCTATTTTCATTTTATTTAAGAAAACACAAACTTCAATACATGTGAATAGCAAGGAAATAATCCTAATTTAGATGTGTGGGTGACATAACAATTATTGATACAGATATGAATTTAATCAAGCTGAGTTCAAATTCAAGTCCAGGCAGTTGTATTCATTTTGTACTAATGCCCTTGGGAAAAAAACATCAATCTATTTCTTCTTTGCCTACCTATAGGTAAAATAGTAGAGCAGACTGAGATCTCTAGCCTTGCTCAAGCCATCAGCCTATGAGAAAGAAAATTCAATTAAAAACTATAGAGAAGGCAACATGAAATTACACAGATACTTTTCTAAGGAGTCTCAAAGCAATTTGCAGGTATTGAACAAAAGGAAGTTGTGAAGAGACATGACTGTTTACATCCTGAAGGAATAAATGTATATATTTTTTTAAATCATAATTTCCTTTGCATATTTGCTGGTCTGAGACTCTTCATAGGCAAATAAAATTTTTAAAGACAAACATAAATTGAGCACTGAAAAAAAAAAAGAAAAAAAGAATGAACACAGTTCTTTGTTCTTATGAATATAGATTGATGTTTCCATTATAAGTTCTACAGAAAATTATTATTATTATTATTATAAATATTCTGATATTTTCAATTGGTGTAATTTTTAAGAGAAACTAATAAGATTCCTTTATGTGAGGTCATGCTACTGATACCATATAATCCAGTACTACCTGCTACTTGGATCATCAGTGACTAAACGGGTTTCCCCCACCAGGCTTTTCTAGAGGGTGGTTAGACACCCAGCAGGATTAAAAACAAGACCTCTCAAAGAGCTGATTAACTTGTAGGGTCAGTGGAAATCTAGCACAATGGGGTAGACTGGGCTCCATAAGTATGTCTGTAGCCAGTGTGTTGGCAACAAGTCATCACTGAGAAGAGGGCTGAGGAATCAATGTTTATGTCTGTAACCAAGGAAAGCCTTCAAGATGGTGGACATTGGCTGTGGTTTGGCCAGGAGAAGGATGAAAAGTATACTTGCCCAAAACATGCTATGCAAAAATGAATATCACTCCAGCTTTCAATCCAGATTTGATGAGGGAACTCCTCAGGTGCTCAGTTGCACAATGACCCAGTGATCACAACTGATCATTTGACTACTACTACTACTAGTACTAGTACTGATGATGATGATGTCATCTCCTTCAAAAAGAGATAAAAATACACCTTACCATGGAATAAAAGTTAACAAACTAATCTCACACTGTAATGAGGTTTTATCCTCACTGGTGTGAATTTTGAGCAAAGGAGTGGCTTTCAGCAATAGTTGAATACTTATCACACTATCAAGTAACAAAACCAACAAAGACTAATGGAATTTTAAATGATCTTTTCTACCATTGTCCATACCACTTACTTGCTCACTATACTAATAGTTATTGGTTAAATGTTGCAGTGCTTTTAATAATAGGTTACATTAATACAGTTCAGAGCCTGGCTTGAAATTAACATTGTCCCATCATCCACTTAGGACAAAGTTAGGTTTTTTGGGATGATCCCAGGGCAATATAGAATTTTTAATTAAAATTCTATTATATTTATTCTAAAAAATTAAAGTTCTATTATATTTATTCTGAAGGCAAATAATTTCTTAAAATTAAAAAAAGTAGCGGACTTTTAATAAATGGAGCATGTGCTCTCTCTCTCACTCACTCACTCACTCACTCACACACAATAAACAAAACTTAAGTTCTTTTTTTAATATCTGTCTATATCTCTGAGATGAGGTATTATCATTATTTACATTTTTGACATTATTCAGACTGTTATCCTCATCTTCATTGCCATATTCACATTTCAGCTGTTGTATGCTCCAGCCTTCCTCAGATGAGTAGATTTTTGAACCGAACACTTTATTTCGTCAGCCAGGATAAATTGTTCTAGTTCCATGTGCCATGCCTCTTCAGGATGTCTGTTATTTTCCTTTAACTCAACTCTCCAATTTTTTTTTTTTTTTTTTTTTTTTTTTCACCACTGCTGTAGCCTGGTATTGAATTCATGACTGTTTGGGTGTAGTCATTGGATCTAATCATCGCCGTTATCTACTGGGCCAATTTTTTTTTTTAACTAGGGTACAAAACCTATGTGTAAATGAAGATTGAAAGGCTTAAATTTACATATTTGTATTATTTATCTCTAAATGTGAAAAACATTTGCATCTAATTGTTAGGACGAATTTTGCAAGAAAATAATTATTTTTCTGCCAATTTTTGTTTAAAAATCTTGAATGTAACATTAACAAACAATATTTGTGTTGTTTTTTGCTTATAATACAAAGAACTTTTTTTAAAATGATAAACTGAAAATTTAGTCAGTGCAAGGCAGGTAATTCTAAATGAAATTTTTTTTGTTAAAGACTTTAAATAATTTTTTGATTGTGAATAGTTTGGATTCCTTAATATTCTTTAAATAGAAGATGAATGCTCGGAGACTACAATGCTGAAAATTATGACAAAAGTTACTCTGAACATGAGAATTGATTAAGAATATTTCTGGATAAAATCATTCAAAGTCATTTAACTGAAACGTCTGAATAAAAATAGTTATTATTCATTTTTGTAAAATAATGACATAGTTATTAATTTCTAAAATGTTAATGTGAACCGTGATGTGTCTTGTGGCCCTACCAGGGATTGAACTCACCATCCTTGGTTAACAAATTTATAAAGATATTAGACTCCCACTCCTCAGTTTAATGGATGTGCTCTAAGCAGTGGCAGTTGTTTGTCTCCCTTCCTGCCAAAGCGGATTTAATCTTTAGGCATTATCTAAGTTTACTGAAATTTCTATTGTGAATGCAAGAAATTTCAACTGGAATCACTCATGGAGGACCAGTTTAAGTGCCACATTTTTATTACTGGGTTACAATCCCTAAATGATGTCATCATCATTGTTGTTGTTGTTACTACTACTACTACTACTACTACAACAACAATATAAACATTATAATGTTATAGACATAACGGTGAAAGCGCTGATGATCAAATGTCAATGTCTGATCACCCTCAAGCATGACACACTTATGGTGTAACAGTCTGCTAACCCGTCTGTTACCGACAATGTTAAAGCGGGAAGAAAATCTCCAACTACAAACAACCACCCACTCTTTGTTGGGCATGGGGTGAAATGCCACTACACATGTTATTGTCCATTAAAAAAGCATATATGCCAGTTCTTTTTGTGCCACGAACACAAGGACAGTTTTGTGGGCCCCCAGATAGACAAAACTGTAACAACAAAAAAGAATGACTCAAATTCAAGAGACAGATATGACCAAAAAAAACAAAAAAAACAGCTTATAGTCGGATGTCTAACATGAATTTAGTTTTTGCAACATTCAAGGTAGATTTTGATTCTCGCAGGAAATATATAATTATTTGCTTTAACAACTGTAAGATTTCAGTTGGACACAATGTGTCTGATATCATACTTACATACATCACATTTGACATGGGAATCATTGAGAAAACCCGCCTTGACAAGTACAAATCATGTTGCTCGTAGTGCATCAAGTAACATGACCTCACTCGGGTGAGTTGTGATGTTTCCTTCAAAAACAAACAAATTTCTGGATTGTGTTATATTACTGATTCATCCAACCTAAATCTCCTTGGATTGGATTTTATTGAAGAACTGGACCTTTTCATTGTCTCCATAAAATCTGTATTCAATGCATTTCAAATTATATCTGCAAGTGAAACCCAATAAACAAACAAAAACTCAAGAAAAAGGCACAATGAGGAGGACAAATCATAAGTGAAAACTAACTACACCTCTACAGGTTGATCCTCGTCAAACATCCTACGAGCATCATGCTTTGAGGTGTTAGGATGGACATCATAGCAAGGAAGTCAACTCTCTCCCTACACTGGAGCCAAATTATTCCCTTGATCAGAATCTCTAGGAACAGAGAAGAAAGGGAATTTCAAGATAACAGTCACACATTCTCACATGTTCTCTACTGAGATATTAATCTACCAGTAATCCACTGGTCAAGTTATCCAGTGATAAATGTAATAAGGGCTTGAATTATGTGTTTTCTTATTTAACACAAAGAAGTACACTTAGTGACACAACACAAACCATAGTGGCAGCCTATTTATCACACAGTTAATATATTAGCATTTTTAATTTATTTTTTAAATATATTAATGGTATTTTTATTATACTACTAACAACTATTGATGAAAAACTACTAACATAGGATGGTTTTGAGACAATGTGGTAGAGAAACTATTCTTGATATATAGCAATTGATTAAATTTTACTTAGGCTAGCACTGGGCCAAAGTAGCAAGGATAAAATGTTGGGGATCAAATGGTTTGTAAGTTTATTTTATAAACATTACAGCACCCAAAATCTACTGGATATTGTGTACAGATGTATGTGATCTATCGATGTATAAAAACCAATCTATTTAACATATAGTTGAAGTGCAGTCAGGTAGGAATTGTAACTGGTTCTCTTGTTTTATCTTTTACAGATTAGAGACAAAGGAAAAGTGCCAATGAATGCAGAAGAGAATAAAACAAAGTTTATCACCTGTGCTGAGTACATAGACAGTGTTGGTGATGGTATCAGCTTCTCTGCAGGACAAGAAGTAGAGGTATGTATAACAATCTTCAATACTCAATGGACCTTTCAATCGATGTAACAAAACTGAAGATCTACACACATATATATATATATATATATATATATATATATAAAAAAAAAAAAACAGTAACATATATAATCCGGTGTTCTTATAGATATTTTTATTTTTACAAAATAGTGCTCAATGTAAATTTACAGAGCATTAATATTATAAATTAATTGATTTAAAATATGGTTTTTTCTACTACATGGTTCTAACCATTTTTCAAAAATGGAAGCTGAAAGCTCCAAATTTAATTTTGTAATTAAATTAAAGACATTAGTTCCATTTCATCCTCAAGCGAATTTTGGAGTAACTTTTAAAATTACTGGGTTTTAAAGACACAGCAAAAATCATAATTCACGTTTTCAAGGTTACAGAGAAATCCATTCAAACCAGACAAGGGGTGTTTGTGTGTTCATTATGGCTGTATTTTGATGTATCAGTTATTAGTTACGTTTTGGTAGGGGTAGGGATGTATTTTTCAATGAAATCTGATATCCGTTAAATGCATGTCGTCTGGATTTTTAAAAAAAAATTTATTGTTAACAGCAAAAATTTATTTTAAACAACAAATATTTATTTTTCAACATAATTTCCCTCCTTGTCAATGATCCTGCATTAATTACATATAGGACATCATTCAATGAAAATTTCAAATCAAAATGTACCATAATAATATATTGATCCATTCTTATAAGATTAACTTTGGTAATTTTTTCATCTTAACTTCCACTGCTTTTTATTTCTACTCGATCAAACCGGATGTTTCTTTTTAATCCTTTGTGTTCACTAACAGAAAAACAGTCTGAGGTTTGTGATAAAAAGTAACAGAAACTAAGATGAAAGAAATACAAGTTGAAAATTAATGATAATACAGACTTATTGTACTTGCTTTGGGACAGGATCTTTCATATAACAATAACCACTGATAACAATAACCACTGATAACAATAACCACTGATAACATTAAACAAAGAATTTAAAAATTACAACTGTTTACATTACAAATTCATTGTTATCAACAATTTCACATTATAAAAAAAATTATTGATCTTAAATTATTAATTTTTAAATTATTTTGAATACATTTTAAAATATTTGGGATTGACTGATTTGAAATAACAGTTTGGTAATTTTTTTTTAATCATTTCTCTCAAAGCAAGTCAATAAAGCCATTTTTACACAAGGGGTAACTAAGTGTAAAAGAATGAGAAAAAGTAAAACATTAAGGTGTAACACCTTTCGTCGTCGCTTACACCTGGTGGTGTAACCATGCTTAGTGGTCCAGTCTCCAGGGTCTTAGGATGATGCTTTAACCATGAGCCAACTCTGCACTGACCAATGCTGACGCTGGTCAAATCTGGTTGTTGGTTGCTGGCCACTTCAATCAACACATTGTGTTCTTGATAGCAGAGAAGTAGAAAATTTGTAGTCTTACAGCACTGGTCAAGCCATGGTGGGTGCTATATTAAGGAAAAAAATATCTTCATGACTAAAAATAAAACAAGAAATTTATGGGGTTAATCTCCAATTAGTTTATATAGCTCTTAGTATAACAAAAATTAAACTTTTACCACATCAATCTCTTTAGTGACACTGTGCTTTGTCTAAACTTCCGGAAGACTGGGTTCAAAGTCTTGGAATCAGGAATTCTGGTTGGCAGCTGGCATGGATTTCAAAGGCACTCAGTGCAGGATCTAAGCCCAAAGTCCTCAAGCTCCCAAAAGTCATCTGCTTATATGCACTTTGGCCCAAATCTGGGGATTTGTTGATTTTTTTTTTTAAAATTTTGGTTAATTTATTAAGGGTTTTCTTTGTTCTCTATTTCTGCTTTCTTAATCAATTTTCTAAATTTGGAGAATTATTCACCTTCTTTGGGAGTAGTCACAGGGATTGCTTCTTCCTTAACTCCAACCTATTCTACTTCACAACTCGCACCACTACTTCACACAGGTGAGGCCAAATTCTGCCCTTCCTCCTTCCTTCTCAGTATTTAAGCTCAGCCCACTTCCCAGCGCATGCATGACTGTCTTTGACAAATCTAATTTTCAAAGCACATAGACAAAAGGGCAGGGTTCCATTCCAACCATTAATTCTAATTTTTTGAATCCTTTCATTTTTACTGGAGCTATCTCTGTCCAGCGAAAATACAAACCAGAACACCTATAACAGAATTTGTTTTCATATCTCCAGCCTTAAATGTACAATATGTCTGACCCCTTAAGAGAAATTCATTCTCATTTTAACCTTCCAAGTGATAGATAGAAATTATTTCCCAAACCTATTTTCATCAATAAAAATATATTTGTTTACCTAAATTTTCAAGAAAGACTCTTTTATCCATCCCTAGGCTGGTTGGCATCTTCAGCAAAAACTCAAACCAGATCACCTTCTTGGCACATAACTGATTTTTCATAACTTCGATCCTAAGAAAGTTTGTTCTCTGTTTTCATCTTCATCAATTTCTTAAGAAAGAGATAAAGCCATTTCTCGGAATCTGTTTTTGTTCACATGCCAGATTCTCAAGAAACATAAACTTTTAGGAAAGAAGAAATCCAGACATATCCCATTCTCACCTAGGAAAATGCGTTTTTCTCCCTCTCTCTCTCTCTCTCTCTCTCTCTCAGCCTATATTTCATCTTTGGTTAACCCTTCTCTTTTCCTGCTTAGAATTAATGTTTAACCACTTCGCCACTTCAGTGTCACAAAGGAGAGAAAACAAAAGAACAGGAATTAAAAAGACAGAAGATAATGATTGATATTATATTTGAATTTTTGAAGATCAAATTTCACTAGAAAGCAAGAAATTGGAAGAGCGTTCCACAAGTGAGAAGTGTGAGAGAAGAAACTTAGCATAGAGTTTAAGATTATATGTAGCCATTTGAACTATAAATTTATGAGATCTTACTGCCAATCTAGTACTGAGCTTAAATTCATAAAGACTAGGTAAAAAAGAAAGTTTGTCAGAACAACTACCATGAAAATATTTATAGAACAGAGAAGCTATGTTATGGTGGTAGGAAAGTGACTGAAACTGAGATGCCAGGTCAGGACCATGAACATTGCAGATTCTTCTTTGTATTTCATCAAAAATGTCTAAATACATAACAGAAACACCAAACCAGATGTGACAGCAACATTCAATGCATATTATACTATATTAATCAATATTATAATAAACAGCTTGCTCTGTATGTTTTTTTAATATTCATCGTTCTTGAGAGTTTTGAAAATGTTTTTAAGTTTTCAGGTTCTATGAAAACTTTGCATAAATGCTTTCCCTTCCTGTTCAGATTTCTTATGGATGTACAAAGTAAATCTAAAACAAATGAGAAAAAAAATCAAAATATGATGCAATCATTAAGAGAAAACCTGCATAATTTTTTAAAAGCAAAAAATGGTACATGTTTTTGATTTTAAAAAGGAATCCTTAAAAGAACCCATTTGATATTTGTATTGGTAAATTTCTCCATCCAAAAGGTTTTTTTACTAATTCATTTCTTAATATCTATAACCTCTGTTAAACCTGTCTAATTGTAACTGCAATGGAAAATACAAAAAAACTGAGTAATTTTTTTTTCTACTCTGATTTGGAAATGACATTTCTTTCTTTCTTAAAGCAATTCTCACACTTTCAGCTTATGCATGTCATGTGAACTCAATTTGATCAAATTTTTTTTTTGTTAATTTGAATTTTGATGTAATGGAATAACCTGTCACCCCCATGAGTAACTTCACTATAGGTAGTAACTACCTATAAGTATCTGTAAGTCAACAGACTACAGAGACTAGCTGCGACCTGTTCCAGCTAAATGGTCAAACTCTTTGCCTTCAGGCAGAGAGGAACGCAGACAAGACTCCGCTGAAGGGCAGTCTCGTTTGGGGAGGTAGACTGCCCCTGAACCCATTTATAGGGGTTCAAAAGGGAATATTTTTGGCTAAGCCTACGGGCTAGGATAATCCACGCTAAACCGGCCTTGTGCCACATGCAACCTTCGTGGGGGGGGGCAGTAGCTAAATATACTAGCTGTTGATAATTGAAAATTAATGTTTTCATGTAGTCGTGATACAAAATTTTTTAGATATATGCGAGAACTACTGACCTTCCAATATATTATATTTAAGTGCAATTTCAACTGTTTCCTTCTGTCTTAACTCTTGTTCTTTTATTGTTCAGTCTCCTTAATGTTTTCCTTTTCTTTTTCTCATATTCTTTCACATTCCATAACCCTTTGTCTTAGTGGCTTTATTGCCTTGTTTGGCGTAAAATGAATAAAAATAAAAATTGAAACCTATTCCCTATTATGGTACAGCAAAGTGCTGTCTAGAAATGTTTACCAGAATTGTTTCTATTGAAGAATGATTTTTGGGTTTTATTAAAGCTCTTTTAATGGAAGTTACAAAAACATCTAATTTTTAGAATACCTTGATGGCCCTTCTTAACAAAGAGTTTCACTGTTTCAGATTGTTAACAATCACTTTACAATTTAAGACAAAAAGAAAATATTACTTTCCTGTTATTTGCTGATCATATATTTTATAATTGTCTTCCCTTTGCAGGTGCAGCAAAAGACAGACAGTGGCTGGTATTACATCAAATTAGGCAATGAATTTGGATGGGCACCTTCATCTTATCTTGAAGAAATTCCATTGGTAAAGACTTTCTCAGAAAAATATCAATTAGCTGTTTCAGCCAACATATAATTTATAGAAAATAGAATTAACAATGTTATAGTTATGCTAAATATTTAATAAAAATTTTACAAAATTTATACAGTGTAACCCAGATATAAGAGAGTTGTTGGGACCAGAGAAGAAGTCTCTTATATCCGGGTTTCTCTTATATCCGGTTCACACTGTATTTGATTAAAACCGTTTGGGAAATCGTAAAGCTTAAATATATTTAGAGGATTGTCTTGTGATCATATTAAAAAGTAAGATACGAACGTTTATTAATGCGATATGTTTATTATGATACAAATAAAACATTGTGCATATTTTATTAGCGTTTTCATGTAGTCGTGATCAAAGTTGATGTATTTGGCCTATCAATGCACAAGCTCTTCTTGAAAAACATGACATCAACTATTTTGTGTAGAATCATTTCCACAATAAATGTTGTTTGAGGTGCACAAATTGATAATAATCTGAAGAAGCCCAGGTTGCTTTCATGACTTGGGAACATATATTGTTGCCAACCACACAAAAATTCAATGTTCAGTATTCAGTGAAAAAATGGAATTTTTTTTCCCAATACGTGGCTCGGGAGCCACTCAAGATAGAGGGTTATCGAATGTAGTGTGTGATATGAATGCAATAGGAAGTAGTAGGAAGTAAAGATTATGAGGATAAGGAGGAGAGATAGCGATTAACCTTTTGTGTTCAGAGAATCATCCACATGTGAGTCGGTTCCATAAATTAGCTGTTTTTGAGAATTTTCTCCTTGCATTTGGAATACAAGAGAAATGAGGATGAATCAACTCTGCGGATATAGCATGGTGTGTTTTATCACTAGATGAATGAGCTGGATTTTAACTGTTAGTTTGTGATACAAAATGGTGTGCTGTTCATATACAGAATGGTCAGACATTGAATGTAGTCAAATGCTGTGGACAAACTGTTGAAAGAGCCCAACACATTTTTGTGAGAATGTCATGCAGCAGGATGACAATGTCATTCCACTTATGGATGACCTAACAGAGGGGATCTAGCAATAAATTTGTGATTCTTTACTGCATTCTGACTTGGAACTTTCAGGTTATCATCTGTTTGGGTATTACAAACATTTATCTGGGAAACAGTGATACTGTTGTTATAGAAGTGCAAGTATGGCTCCAGTTGTTTGTTGCTATGTTCTTTAAGAAATATATTTATGCACTTGTGCTACCAATAGAACAAGTGGACCAGTCTTGATCATAGCTACATAGAAAGATAATATAGTCTTGCTGGTAACATATGCACAATGCTTATTTGTATAGTAATAAACATGTTGGATTAGTTAATATTGGTACATTACTTTTTGGACATCCCTTCTATAATAATAAAATTTTAATTTAAAAATAATGAAATAATTAGATCAATAACAAGGCTATCATTAACACACTATTTTCTACTTATAACATTGTTGTAGTATACCTACAAATGTTAATGGGTATGTCCTCATTCATATAAATACAGTAGTAAATACTGTATGTTGGTCTGCAGTTGGAGATTTGTCTCCAGCTGTGCTGGTCAAACTCTCTGCCTCTGGGCAGAGATGATCCCCAGATAACGCTACGTCAAAGGGCAGAGGCTTGTCTCAGGAAACAGCTACCTGACCCCATTTTATATAGGGTCTACGGGGAATTTTTGGCTGAGCCTCTGGGATCTGATACCCCATATTAAATTCGGCCTTGTGCCACATCTGACTGCATGGGGCAGTTGGTAGATATTCTGCAGTTGGAGATTTATTGTGGAATTCACTTGACTTACTTCTAGCAGTTGACTACTTCTTCTATGCGCCATTGGCAAATCTTATATGTGTTGTTCTTGTCCGAAGTATTATCATTCATTACTAACTTTCATGTAATTATTCTATTCAGTAACCTTACCTAGGTTACAATAAACATTAAAATAAGATTTAAAATATTTTTCTTAATGTATGATGATGCCAAATTTAGTGCAAAATTCTGATGATTTAAAAATGTTTATATTTTTTGTAATTAATAATCATTTTAAGAATCGTGAAAATTAAATGAATAACATGTATATAACAATTGACAAGAAATGCTATAACTTGCAATGTACAATAGTAAATATTATAAATAAAATCATGTATTTGCTTAAATATAATTAACTTTTTGTAGCACATGAGATTTATTGAAAAGTTCCCTTTTTTCATGAATAATAAATAAAATAATATATAAAATTACTAATTATTAAAAAAAAACTTCACAGTAATGAATTTTCTTCTTGATATGTGCACATGTATCAATAAGTTTGTAACCTAAAACATTTTATCTGAATTTTTTACTGCATAATGTTTGATTTATTTAATTATTTGCTAAATTAAGAGCATTGACAAGAAAAAAGTTTGTTGTTATATAAAGTAAATATTGTTTTTGTCATTATATTACAGATTTATTGCTTTACATTATGAATTGTTATTCTTTTGTCAATTCCATCAACATCTTAAAAGTTTGCATTTTTCAGAATGTAACTTCATTAATAGTTTATTTTTATAGAATTTTTCAATATGTGTTGGTTCCAATCTGTAGTAGGAATGACAGCAAAATACTTCCCACCCCTCCCCCATGAGGATTTCTCTATCAGGAAGTATTGTAGTAAAAAATTGTCAGATGTAGTAGAATTGTCAGTAAATTTTATACACCTGATTCTTTTGGCATTCTTAGTTTCATGTATATATGTTAAATAGGCAGGACTTGATTTATTGTAGCCTATGAAAATTACTTTTTCACATTTATTGTCCAATTTCTTTCCAACTTGTTTGTAGACATAACAATTTGTGCTAAATATATTCATATTTCCAAGGTTAGGTTTGTGACTCATGAACACTTCACAGAAAGTTTCTCCAGTTCTTTGACTGTAACACCGATTTCTAACATGTACAGCTGCCATATTAGCATCAGACCACAAAAACTTTGTTAATTTTGACTCTATTAATAGAATAACTTACCATTTCAAAAAGAGATTTCCAAGATCTTTCAGTAGTATCATTTTTGTGTACAGAGTATGGGGTTGATTTTTCATGTTTAATACGGTTATTAGAGTTTTGAAATTTTCAAAAGTGAATTCTGTGCTGTTATCACCTCTTGGGTGTTTTATAGAGCTGTCTGGAGGGATGTCTGGTAAACATTTCTTTGTGACAAGAAATGTATTGCTTTTCTGCTTAAGAAAATAAACCATGATTAGACCAAAATAATCATCAAAAAAATAATGTATATATTTGAAGTCATTCAAAGATCTTGGCTCATTTGGGCCAACTAAATCACAATGAACAAGGTCTAATATTTTGGTTGCCTGTCAGATAATTTTCTTTCTATATTGTACCATTTTGCCTTGGATACATATTACACAGTTTAAATTTGATTTATCAGTAATTTTCATACCTTCCACCACTTCTTGTAGTTTTATAATGTCTTTCAGATTGCAATGTCCAAGAATTTGTTGCCATTGTTTTAGACTATGCCTAGCAGTTTTACAGGTTATTGCAGTATTTAAATAGTATAAGCGTCCATTTCTTTTACATCATTAAGATAAACAAGTTTCAAGTAATTGCAGCCAAATTTTACAAAAAACCCCTTTTCAGTAACAGCTTGTACAGAGAATATACTCTGTTAGATATAGGGATATAAAAGCCATCCTTTAAAATGCAATCTTGCATATTTCTTGCTTGTCAGATTAAGTAACATGAGCATTGCCTCTTTTTAAGGCAATATTACTTGTTCTACTGCCATTTCTGGATTAAATTCATTATCAAAACTAATAAATTTGAATTTTGTCAGTAATAATGTGTTGCGATTCCACAATCAACAATTAAACTGCTTTTGTTATAAATGGTATTTAGTCCGATTGAAAACAGAAATAAGTTTTCATTTTCTGAAACCTTTTCAACATTTTTTATGACATGAACATTTTTTTTTTTTTTTTTTGCTTCTGTACTTGTAACTTTTATGTCCTGGTTTACTATATGTGAAGAGCAGGTAAGAGCATTATTAGAGTGTGGCTTTGGTTTTGGTATTTGCATTCTGCATTGTTATTCACTTCAACCATCTTTTCAGTTGCTTCAAAATGCTACTTTAAATTTGCTAAACACTACTAGTTTGTCTTTCTGAGTATTAACAGTTGCAAACAGTTTAAATTTGAATAGGTCTTTTAAGACCATGGCTGTTAGCAAGGTATTACTAATTACTTCTCTGGAGGTTTTTAATAAAGTTTCAGCATTAATAATATAATCAATAATATTTTCGGCACTTGCTTTGCATAGGGAGGTTAATTCAGTATACAAGGAAATTATTTTCAAAATTTGCAATACTTTTCTCATAATAGGAGACAGTCTTCAATCATTGAGAAATTGGATCAATTTGGCAATTATGTTTGCATTCTTTTTGCAATTCTCTTCATCATTGGGACAACAAAGATTGTTTCATGTAAGTTTTGGTTCTCATGTGTCCGAAAATTTCTACCTCCCATAGTTTATATTTTGTCACTGTTGAAACAGTCTATTCCTGGGCTGATAACCTGTAAACTGGCCATTATTAAATGTAAATGGCAGAACTGAATAGACAAAATTTGCAATAAACAATAACAAGTTAAGAAAAGAACAGAGCAAAAAATAATTTTGAGCAAGCAAACAATATATACAAGACAAAGTAACAGTAATAAGGCAAAAAGTTCAGAAACTAAGAATTGGGGTTGAGACACATGAGCAAATTCAGATAAACAAATGTAGCATTCTGACATCAAGACACAGTAGCCTGGACTGAGTCAGATGAGACTGAGAAGTGGCCTAACTTATTGGCCCAGAATGCATTTGTGTGGTTCTGCTTATAAATTGGGGAAAGGGGAAGTATTCTTCATTCATCCATTAGATTGAAGTGGGGGTGTTGGTTCCAATTATTAGTGGAAATGAATATTTATTTTGTAAAAAAAAAAAAAAAAAATTTTTTTAAATTGTGGCACAAATCCAAAGGGGAATTGGGGAAAAGGCTGGTCCTCGTTAGTTATCCTAATCCTATTTAATCACAATCATGACCCATCATCCATTACAGTTTACCCATTCACCACAAGAACTCATCCATCACTTCTCAATCCTACATATGCCACAATACCGCAAATTCACAGGAGACTTACAAAATACCCCATGATGTAAAAATTGATAAATGTTCAATGTTTTCCTTTTCTTTTCTTTTTTCTTTCCCTATAAAAAATTCATGAAATGAAAGGGGAGGAGATGAACCCAAAAACAATCTCAAAATACAACAAAAAATTAAAATTAAACCAAACATATGTTAGTAGGACCTGTCCTCACCTCAAAATAATAAGAGTGGCCACTGTATTCTGCCATTTGACAGAATCAAGAAACACACTCACTAATGAAATGGGAAGGAAAAATTAAATGACAGAGTGGGGAAAATCAAAGGCTGACCTGGCCAAGATAAAAAAAGTGGACAAAAACAAACTGGGGAGGTTGGTAATCTCGACATGGATCATAACAAAAGAGAATGCTGGGAACAACACTTTCTCATATTAGTAGAAAAACAAATAGTGTCTAGCTTAACCAGGGGGTGATTTCTTGTGAACCCACCCCTTTGTGACAAGGGGGACTTAAAAGGGAAAATCAAAGCTAGCACTGTTCACGCGAACCAGGCTCACCACAGTCACCCATCTTTGCATTGAAATCTGTCGATATTAAACACTTTCTATCAGTTCTGATCTTCATCCTAAGCCAATGCCCAAAGAATCCAGCCAGATCTTGATGAGAATAGCATTCATATCGTAAGATTCCCTCATTCACAGCATCCATATCACCATTCTTGCCACAGCTAGCAACATTAAAAACACCATCTGTTTTACCCCAGAGAACAGGAAAGACACATTATCACACACGTATGTGAGATCAATGGACACAAGCTGATTGGGAGTGATATGAGCTGTTAACATGCCAATATAGTCCCAGAAAGGGTGCACTTGAGGACAATTGTAGATGGTGCGCAAAGCTGTTTCTTCTAAACCAAGGTCATACCAATGACATTCGGGCAAATCCGCCATATCCATCTGAAGGCTACATCATTGAAAGGTAGCATGTTACAAATCAATTGCCAGGTAAGCGAAAACTCAGGGTTGCTGAGATAGTCCGCCATTGGCACCCAAGATCAAAAAGATCTGATGCTGACAAGCCAAATCGGCCACAAATTATTAGTGGGAATGGGTATTTATTTTTGTAAGTTACAAAAATTGTGGCACAAGGCTGAACATTATTAATGGGAATGACTGCAAAATACTCCCCCACTTCCCCAATTTATAAGCAGAACCACACAAATGTATGCTGGGATTTCTTCCTCGCCAATAAGCTAGGCCACTTTGTAGTAATATTTTCCATCTGCAGGTTTAGCATTGCTTTTGTACTGATATCCATTTCACAAGGCATTGATCTAAATTTACAATCATGTATTCCAAATTTAGCTAGTATCTTTTATTTTGTTTGATTCATCTCTATGGAATTATTTTTAAACATAAACTGTATACCTAGAAAGAAAGAAAGCTGTCCAAGATCAGTCATTTTGAAGTCTTCATTTAAATGTGTTTTTACATTAATGCAGAATTGCAACAATGAATATATCATCAACCCAAATAATCATAATCAGTATTGTATTTGAAATGTTTTTTCTGTAAATGCAAGGATTTTCCAAGGATCAAGAGAAACCTTGATTAATTAAATATGTATGTCGGACTTGATTTGAATTCTATCCGCTTTGTTTTAGTCTGTATAATGACATTTTTAGTCACTGTACAACTTTGCCATTGTTCTTGCTGGTAATGGAATAACCCTCAGGCTATTGAACATATGTTTTGCAGTTAATTGGCGCATTTATGTATGCAGTTTTTACATCCATTTGGTGGACAAATAAATTATGTTGAAATGCTAATTGCATAAAGTTTCATTATAATCTATTTCAGCTTTTTGCAAGTAACCTTTCTCGACAAACCAAGCTTTAAACTGTTATTCATTACTAGTGTTATTAGTTTTAATAGTGCAATCCCATCAACTCCCAATGGCAGTTTTACCAATTGGAAGTTTAGTCAATTCATATGTATCAATCATTTTCAGAGCATTTATTTTTTCTATGGCCTTGTACCATCTTATAGAGTCATTTAAAGTAATAGCTTCAATATAAATATTGAGCATATATTTTACTAAACAGCAATAGTCTATAATCAGATTTACTATGTGCAAATTCTTGACAATGTAATCTTTTAAATATTCAGGCATTTTTCATAACCTGTTTGCGTATCTTCTGTCAGGTATTTCTGCATTAGGATTATCTCTCATATTTACAGTTGGATTTGTTGATTGTGTATTTTGACTTTCTTGTAATGAAGATTTATTTAAATTGAGTCAGTTATTTTACCCAGTTTTTTTTTTTTTAATAATGTATATGATCTCAATTATTCTTTAAATTCTTGTTTTGTCATCTACAGTCAAATAGGATTAATTTACTTTTGTCTATGTAAGTATTTATTGGAAAACACAGTTTGATAGAAATTTGTATAGAAAATATTTTTATGATCAGCAAGATAAAAAAGTTAAAAGAATTTTCAAATTTTTACAGGATGAAACACATTCTAGTGTTAGATTTGATAAAATACAAGAGGAAAAAGCAGAGGAGGATGATGATGATGATGATGATGATGATGAGTATGAAACAATAAATTTGTGTCCAGCCAAGCAGATTGAAAACATACTGGTCTCAAAATTAACTCCAGCGCATTCTCCATCAAACTCTCAAATTGATGGCCTTGAGCGAAATAGCAGTTCTAGTGATGAATTAAAACTGCCACTTTCTTCTTCCCCTACAGGCAGTAGCTCAAGTGCCTGTCCTTCAACCAACTCTAGTCTGTCAAGAACTGCTGTAAAACGACCCAATTCAATTCCACCCGCACCCCCAAAACGTCCAGACCATCCAGGTGGACAGCCGCCCTTACCTTCAGTGCCTCCAGTATCCTCTGCAACAAAAATCAACCCTCAACTTCCTCCTCCACCACCACCTCCATCTTCTGTCCCCAAAAAGCCAGTACCACCATCTTCCACTGGTCTTTACAAATCATCTAAAACATCAGCCACGTGTCCTCCTCAGCCACCCCCACCACCTCCAGGCAGACCATATTCAGGAATATCACATCCACTTGTTACCAATTCTGTTGCTGACCACAGTAAAGAAACCAGTAACACTAGTGGGAATCTTGCCACTGAATTGCAATCACGGCTGGCAAAATTAAAAGCAAACTTTGATTCTGGCTCAAGTGCAAACACTAAAAAGCAACAGCCCCTAACAAAGGAAAAACCTGTTATTATTCATGGTGTCAATATAAAAGGTGGTGCAACATCAGTTGCAGGTAATAATTCAAAGGTTACCAAAACAAAAGACATTAAAAAATCCCAACCTCAAGTGTTTCTTCCACATGTTCAAAAGACGACACCAATCCTTCCAGCCTCTCCCAGTAATGTCGACAACTCACCGTCTCAGGCTGAGAAGGATGACATTCAGCGAATTCCTGTGCCTAATGTCAGTGACTCTTCAGTAGTTGTTCCCTCATCTAAATTTGCTGAAAAACTATCTGTCTTTCAGATGAATACAAATGGAGACAATGCTGCTGCTACTCCTAAGTTTTCCAGCCCAAATGTACCATTGGCTTCCAATTGCCGTGGGCTTGCTCTTCTTCAACGCCAGAAAGATAAACTCATGGAAGAAGCTGAATCTAATTGCAAGGCCAGCAACGAGAGTCTTGAACATGAAGCAAAAGTATCAAATCTGCGTAATAACTTTGAGTCATCAACTTGCAAGTTATCAACAAGCTCAAGTGTACCTCCTGATCAGTCAACCAATGTGAAACCAGCTCCACCCACAAAGCCCATCCACAAAGTGAAGCCCACAACTGTCCCAGCAAAGGCAAACCCGAATCTGCCTGTTAAACCCAAAGTGAGTCCTTGTAAACCCAAATTTGGAGCTGTGACCAACACTGGGAAAAAAGATTCAACAACAAATATAGCAAATAAAATCAACAAGTTTGGAGGCAACAACATGGCCTCACCAGCCAAGATCTCAGCAGCTGAAATGGAGCCGCCAAAATTCCAACTGGTCAAAGAAAAAGTTATGACTCCAACAAATCAAACGCAACAAAACACTGCAAAAGAAATGAGAACGTCAAATACTGACTTTAATATTAATTCTGTGATTCAGAGAGCCCCCAAATCCACTGACCGTTCATATAAAGCAAGCAGTAGATACATTGCAGAAAGTGAAGGTGAAGTGAGTTTTGAAAAAGGGGTTGATATTGAGGTTTTAGAGAAGCATGAATCTGGCTGGTGGCTTGTTCATATTGGTGATGAAGAAGGTTGGGCCCCATCCAATCATATTGCTGAACTGAAACCTCTCCCACCGACCAAACCTCTCCCACCAAACAAGCCTCTGCCAAAACTACCTTCAAGCCCATCCACTAAAAGCACTGGCCAGACAGCAAAACCTGTGATCTCTATCAACACCACATCTCCAAGTGAAAACAACAACAAAAATGAGAACAACAACAACGATAAAGAGTTCATAACCAATGAAGACACTCTTGCTCCTAATAATAATTTAGGGAGTGAGGGTCAATTTGTGGCCCTGTCAGATTTTAGTGCTTTTGAAGAAGGTGAGATCAGCATAGAGGAAGGGATGTTTGTGAAAATACTCGATTCCTCAAGCACAGACAAGTGGCATGTTATGCTGCAGTCAGGAGAGGACGGTTGGGTTCCAGCGAATTACATTGGTACAATACATGATGTATGAACTATATGAAACCAAATATGACAAAAATAAGCTTTTTAAAATTTCAAGAAATAGTTGTCAAAATAGATGTATAAAAGTTGGAGAGAAAAAAAAAACGATTTTAGCTTCACACAATTTATAATTACAACAAGAGTGATATTAAAGGATTATAGAAAGATTGTAATCTCAGGGTTCAATTTCCAACTTTGACATACATTTTTTCCTTGAATTTTCTCTCTTAGCATTTTCTGCTCTTTGCTTCAGAAATTTGCTTGTCATAACTATTAATTTAAAATGAATTATCAAACATGAAGCCTTTGTTGACAGTACAGCTGTTTATTTCAGCAGCATATCTCAAACACCCTTTACAGTGCACTGAGAAGATTTATCAGTGATGTTTATTCCTGGGCTTGGATATTTCAGGCCTGTAAAAACATCAGACCTTCCCTCTCCCAGGTGACCCTACAAGGAGCAATCATCTCCTGGTCTCTCTTAGTTCTTTATGAAATGATATATGAAAAAGTAAAAAGTGTAATTCATGATGTATATGCAAAGTTAGAAAGAAACTATCTTCATAAAACTTTCTAAACCTTTTGTTATTCAAAATGTTTGTATCCAGAACAAAGGTTTCATAATTGTTTTTCTCTGTCTGTAACTAATTTTTAAATGCAAGGACCAAATTTTAATGAAATCTGTTGTGTTTATCATGTTTCCAAGAGAAAAAAAAATAGCATATTCAGTTTGCTTACTTTGTAAATAGCCAATTATTTTGTATATTTATATAATTTTCTCAGCCAGATTTTGAATAACTAAAAAAGTATTAACATGTTTATTGAAATATTTAGTATAAAACTAATACATGACAGACCTTCAAGTGAATCTGTTTGTATTCTCCCACATTGCATTCTTTATTATTATTTTTAATTCAGTCGGTGATACAGGAAGTGAACTGCATCAAATCAAATTGAGAACTTCAATTCAAATTCTGGCCTCTTTATGACTGGCTTTCAAAAGCTTATTCAGACAATTCAAGATGAAAGCAAATTTGTTTTCTATATTGAATTTATGTACATCTGCATTACAATGCATGTTTGTATGATATGTTAATTAACCTTTATAACAAATTATTATGACATTTAAAAATCAACAGACACAAAGAGAATTTAAATACAAAAATTGTATCTTTGCAATGAGATTTGATGGTTTGCATTGTGATTATTGTCATTTGCACAATTGTTCTACATTTTTTTTTATTATTGAACTTCCTCGAAATACTTTCCTATGGCATCAAGATGATGTTGAAATATATAAAATGTATTTTACTAAATCTTTTATACCGAAAGAAATGAATTGTAGATATTAACATTGGACACTGAAGAAAGTATGAATATTAACATTGATTTATTCAAGTATCTGTAGTTAGCATTTGTTTCAATGAAAAAAAGAAAGAATCTTGTCAATTATGAAAAGCTTTTAAATAAATATCTACAAAAAAACTGCATAAATAGACTAGACTTGTATATTTTCTATATTATAGAAAATTACTAAGAGGAATTACAATAAAAGACAGCTGCAAACACAAAGGGTCTTTTCCAAGACCTACAGGCTTCACCTGGTCAAAGCTATTTTTAACTATTGATCTGAAATCAGTTGGTTATGTGCTATGCATGATACGTGCTTAGGTGATCATGTATCTTTCGATACATGACTGACGAGGCAGATTTTTTCCTGCAGTAGGTTGCCATTTCTTTCTGTGGTAGACCAGTTGCTATCCAAGGCTAAAGAACCTGGTCTGTTCTGCTATTTACCCATAGCTGGGGGTGGGGAGAAGAAGAGGATTCATACCTTTCCCAAGGGTATTAGCACATAAATGAATGTAATGGATTTGACTGGAATTTGAACTTGGCTCTCCGATTCCTCAATCCAAGCTGCTATCCATTACTCCACCATGCCTCCACTGTATAGAAATTACAATAGGAGACAGCTACACACACACACACACACACACACACACACACACACACACACACACACACACACACACACAGAGTTATACTTTATTAAAAAAGGAAAGAATATGGTAAGAATGTATTTTTTTCTAACAATTTATACAGAAAGAAGGCATTTTGTAAATATTGTATATTACTGAAAATGATGAACATGATTTTATACAGAATAAAAAATTTTCACTTGCTTTTTTAATGAAACATTACTGAAAACCTAAAGATGTCCATTAGTAATGACATCAAAAAAAAAAGATTGATTTCTTTTTGGCCTGTATTATATTGATAGACTGGCCAGGAAAGCATTTAAAAATATTTCAAAAATCATTTCCTACAATACACAGCAGGGAAAACAACAAGATATTGTATAATGTAGTGCCAGAGAAAATGGAATCTATGGAAAATTGGAATTCTATCTGAAGCTGTTTATGTTCACTAGGCATTAATGGTTTTTTGGAAAGGCATGAACCCACTTCTCCCTGTGTTCTGTCTGTGTACCACATGTTGATAAGATGTATTCTCAGCGGAGGAAAATAGTTTAGTGAATTCTTGCACAAACTACTTTTAAGTTACCTGCTAGATAGAAGTATGAAAAGCTCTTACCTCCATTGTCAACCCTAACAGATTCCACTCGCTACTTAATGAAATGGGATATCGTGCCACCAAAGTGCAATAAACTAAATGATCAAATGAAGATTCAAAAAGTTTCAGTTAATATTTGAAGACTAACCTTTGCAACCTTCTAAAATCTGTGTCAAAAGGTAAAGCATTGTAAACTTTTAGCCAGGAAAATCATTTTGTTTTTTTAAATATTAAACAGATGTCTTTTTGCTTCCTCTGCCAACACATGGAAGATCAGCACAAATTTATTTTCTTGTTGAAAGTGATGCTAATTAGTTTTTAGATCACTGAATAAATTTGAAAAGATTTTTTTTTTTCTCTTTCCTCCAAATTCTTTTAAAATCCTTTGGCAAACTGAAATTGTCCAACTAAATATGCATGTCACCCAATCAGGAATGGCAGAGTATAAATTTTCTTCACAACTATTCTTGTTTCTCTTTAGACACACAATGGCACAATAAATATTTCCGAATTGTCATGTTGGAATTTTTCAATATTGATCTTCTCAGTATCATTTTTCAGCCTTTGCTATTTTAAATTCTCTCACCTTTGACCTTTCCTCAACCAACTTTCTTTTTATTTATGCACAAATACATGGATGTGTATTCATATTCTCTCCGCCCACACATAAACGCTGTGTTTTATTTACACAGTGATTCAATTAAATTTTATGATCATTTTATTGATATTAATGTAAAATTTATTCAAAATACTCAAATATTTCTTCAAATGTAATAAAAATTGAAGTTTTTAATAAAATGTAAAATAATGTAATAAAGATTTGTTGATGTAATGTTTTTTGTCATTTTGTGAATATTGTAATCGAAAACCATGGGAATTCTGAAATTATTCTTTTGTTTCATATGAAACAAAAAAGAATAATTCTGGAATTAATTTTTTTTTATATGTACCTTTTTTTTTTTTTTTTTTTTTTTTTGCAACAAATTCAAAAAAAGGAAATTATTTTAAAGAAACAGGCACAGAAGTCCGTTTTCAGTGCAATAACCATAAAAAAATCCATCAAAGACAACAACCTCAATTTCTGTCACTGCATATTTCAACCAAATGGCACACAGCATCAGATGTGTGCTTTTAGCATCTTCATTTAAGTGCCAACAAGAATGATGAAAGTCTACGTTAAAATACATTTTCAAAATAAATCACATTAAATAATTGAAGATGGTATTAGGTTTATTACTAGGCCAAAATTAAATTTCTTACAGTAATAATACCACTCATGGATTGGTGGGTGGGGAGAGAACAAACAACAAAAAATTCCCTGGAAAAGTGAGTCCCACTTCATTGTTTATTTCTCATCTCGTTTATAAAAGGACACAGGCATGTACAAAGATTCTGACTTAAAAATCTTTCTCTCTGGGCTTTGGTTTAAATTAAAAAAGGGTCAACTAATGTAAAATAAATATTATTGATGATATTTTTTATCATTTTTTATTCCTCAAATTTCATTAAACAGCCTATTAAATCCGCACATACATATATATAAAGTGGACAATGAATTCAACAGACTGTCATTGTTGGGTGTTGACTTCAATATCCACTTTTATATTTACATTTACATATGGTCTATCCCTGAATAACTCCTGAATATAGCATACCTTAAAACTATATTTTTTATAGTTTTTATATATATATAATTTAGTTGACAATGCCTGTCGTTTATTTTATTTTTTGATAGGACTAATTCACATTTCTTTACATGCATTTCAAAAATTGCCAAGATGTTATCAACAAAATCGTCTCTACCAAAATTTTAGGGGACGTCGTAGCAAGGGAGCTAACTCGCTCCCTAGATGGCACCAAGTTATGCCCCTTGATCAAAAAATCTTACAGTGGATCTCAAGACGGTGGCTACACGTTCTGTTTTGTTCCCCTTTCAGCGGTAGTGGGATAACGGAATGGCGTCACTTTCCAGGAAGGTGGTGGGGCACGTCCGATAGAGTAATATTATTTTTTGTTGCAACAAAGGCAGCGATAAAGAAGAAGAAACACTACTTTTTGTTTTTATTTAGCAAATACACCTAAAACTAGATATTAAACATACATAGTTTTTAATTTTAGTTTTTTAAAATGTCTATCTATATTTATCTGCTGGTTCCTACTTGAATCCAAAGTTTTTTCACACCTATGTGAGAAGTCCAAGACTTTGGCGTCACTTCTTCCATTTTGATTACTCATGTCTGTGAATTGGTAGTGAAAAGAAAGCTCAAAAGTTATAAAGGGTGTGTGCAGAGACAGAAGAATGCCATAAAATCAAAGACTACTTAAAGATTCTTGGTTATTATTGAAAGAAACAGTTACATTTTCATAGTCAACTTCTTTCAGACTAAGAATTGAAAAACCAAAGGAAATTTGACATCAACATAAATGTAAGTTTATTTTTCTTTTCTTTTTGTTAACTTTATTTTTAAAGAAATTTAAAACATGTTTTAAGAAAAAAATTAAAATCAATTGCTAGCAATTTTTTTTTATTAATCTTTATTTCATATTTAAAATTATATTTTTTAATGTAATGTGAATTTTTAAAAATTGTTTTCTTTGTAGATCTTTCTTTCAATTGTAGAGATCACCGGCGGCCATTTCCTTTTGTCTTGTTTTTCTTCTTGCACCAAAAATATTTGTAGTGTTTTAAAATCTTACTACACCCAAAAAATAAACATTTTGACACAAAAAATAAACTTTGAACATTCTTTTTAACAAAAACAACTTTTAACGGAATTTAACGAATTTAAAAACAAAAAGAGGTTAACCGTTAAAACATACTAGTCAAGAATTTAAAAATAACAATGTTGCTAATTTCTTTTTGATGACAGGTAAAAATTTGGAATAAAAGTTCAATTTTATATGCTAAAAATAAGTTAGAATTTTTTGTCAGGACAAAAATACCATTTCACACTAGAATCGATTTTATCCAATTTTTGGACGAATACAGCGTGAAATGGGCAAGTAAATCTAACGGCCCCTAGTACAATTGAACCTCTTTTATTAAATTTTTATTTACAAATTTCTAAACCATATTGCAAGTAAAATACAGCATTAAATATCTCGTTAAAATTGAGCTAAATATCATTATTATCTATATCTTGTTTTTCTTTGTACAATAAAAATATAAACTACTATTAAATATATTTTATTGACAGTACCACCAATATAGCAATAAACGGCCAAATCTTTATAATTACAATAAAAATGTGAAATTTCTTTGATAGTATACATAATTATATTATGCAACCATCATGTAAATTTGGGATGCTAATGTGGCAGCCATTTCATACAAGAAAGATGGTGACTTGTTTTAAATCATTGTTGTTCTAACTTCGCACAAAGTTAGGTGTACTCATACAAAGGAAAACAGTAAACAAGACCTCAGAATATCTGTAAGGCAATATCCACCACTAAAATAAGTAAACTTTATTTATTTCTTTATACATTTAATGTAAGTATGAAATTTTTAATAGAAAATATTTGATTTTGGGGCATTAATTTTCCACATATTCTATTCTATGCAAGATCCAAATCTTCTATTTTACTATTTATTATTAATAGTAAGTAAACCTGATTTTAGTTAATTATTATTAACCAACAGTGTCACAATAGTCAGAGCGAAAAATTCAAGAATTTCAAAACATCTATTGTTATCCAATAGTGAATAAAATGTATAACAGTTCGAATTTTGTGTTTGTTCCTATTTGACACAACACAATGTCAGTACTCGGTTCTTGGTAATGACTGAGACAGTCAAAAGTACTTGAACAAAATGTGAACTTCCAACAGTTTATTCACAATTTTGATCATCATTTTACTTGAAAATTAGAAAAATATGATTAAAAAAAACACGGACCTTTAGATGAAATCTTGCTGCTTCAATATACAATAGGATATATAAGCACACAAAACGCAGTAGAAAATGTTTCTTTTTTGTCTGTTTGACCAAGGTTGTTTAGATGAAAAAAAGACAATTCTGTCTAAATATGTCAACTGAAAAATAAGATAGAAATCACAAATTCAATCCAGACAATATTTCTTTAAAACTTTTCCCATTAATTTCAACTGTGTTCCCAAAATGTTCCCTCAATTTATGAAATGCTTTCACCAATTGAGATTAAACATAAAACATTCTGTTTTTGCATTCTTTACTCTTAATTATAACTTATTTTATCAAGATATTTTATAACGGGAAAATTGCAGTATGGTAGAAGCAAGGTATTTTTTTTTTTTTTTTTTTTTTTTTTATATCAGGTCATCCCATAAGTTCTCTCTGAATTTTAACTTTTTGTTAAAATGAACAAAATTTAAAGAGTATTTTATAATGTCTAATGGAGCTGAACATTATTCTTATGTTTAGATGCATTTAAACTGATCAAATTTTATTTCAGAGAACAATAAAATTAAATTTTCTTTGATTAAAACCTTGCTAACATGGAAGTACCCAAGAATCATTTGAGGCACATAATGCTTTATGAGTTCAAGAAAGGAAACTCAGCAGCCGAAGCGGCTAGAAACATTCACTCAGTTTATGGAGAGGAATGTGAATGAAAGAACTTGCAGAAGATGGTTTGCAAAATTCAGAGGTGGAGATTTCACCCTTGAAGATGAAGATCGAACCGGACGTCCAGTTGAATTTGATGAAAAGCTTCTTGAAGCAGCCCTTGAAGAAAATCCTGCTTTATCAGTTGAGGAATTGGCAGTGGTTCTCAGTTCAAACCATACAACTGTTCATCGTCATCTTCAACAACTTGGAAAAGTTCCTAAACTTGGAAAATGGGTTCCTCATGAATTGTCTGAAAACAACCTCAAATCCCAAGTTGACATCCGCTCTTCTCTCCATTCTTGCCAACTTGTTTCACCTTTTTTGGATAGACTTGTGACTGGCAACGAAAAATGGATCTTTTATCGAAATGTTAAGCTTCATAGACAGTGGCTTGGTAAAGGGGAAGGACCCCAGCCACAGCCGAGAATGGAACTTCATGGGCAAAAGGTTCTTCTTTCAATCTGGTGGAATCACCAAGGAATAATCCACTTTGAATTCTTACTACCTAATGCAACAATTAATGCTCAAATATACTGCCAGCAATTAGATCATTTGAACTAAGCTTTGAGGAAATAAAGACCTGCTCTAGTGAATCGAAAAGGGGTGATATTTCATCAGGACAATGCGTGACCCCACACAGCAAGAATCACGTTACAAAAGATCGAAGAACTTGGTTGGGAGAAAAGTCCTCATCCATCTTATCCTCCTGATCTTGCTCCTTCAGACTACCATTTGTTTCGTAGCTTACAGAATCATTTGGAAGAAACAGCTTTTGTAACACAGGAAGAGGTTAAAACTGACATTTGTGAATTCTTCGAATCAAAGCCAAAAGAATTTTACAGTAATGGAATTAGTAAGCTTGTTAATAGATGGAAGGAAGTCATAGATAATCAGGGAAAATACACTGTTGATTGAATCTGTAATTAAATGTAACATTTGGTCACTTTCTTTCTTTATTCAAAATTCAGACAGAACTTATGGGATGACCTGATATAATTGATTCACCAGACTTGCTGAAGCTTTCATTTAATCAACTGTAAGTTGCTATCTCCTTTGTTCTTATATAAAATAAAAATTTGAACTACCCTAACAAGGTTCCTTTGTAAATCTCAATTAGCAGATCTATTTGTTGCATTAGCCAAAATAAAGTTTTTTTTCTGTTTTTTGTATTATTTTTGTTCATCAGTTTCTCATCATTCCTTCATTTCTTGATATAAAAAGATTCTGAATCTCTTAATGCTTTTACTCTATCACATAAAGAATACAGTCTAATGACAGTTTAATTGAAAGCTACATTACAGACTGAATTCTGTAGATATCATTAAATATATATAAAGAGGAGACTGGATGATGATCAAACTCCAGAAAAACATAACTATTGTTAATGATCGAAAAAGAATAGCATTGGCATGTCATATGACACAAAATGGAGTTTAATAGAATTTGAAGGTCATGAAAAATATAAACAATTTTTGTTTTACAACAATGGATGTGAAATAAATCTGCACAAATTTAAGACATATCTTGTTTGTTATATATATATATATATATATATATATATAATTTCTCTGTGTCAAAAACAATAATTTTTACCCAAAATAAATTTTCAAAACTGTATCCTACAGGCCAAAGGTTACTTTTTTATATAATTGTATTTGGATGGACCTGATTTGTGGGCTAGAGGTTGAGTGGGTCCTTCATGGAAATCGTCAAACAATGCTACTTACAAGACAGCAGGACGCCAGGGTGAGAATAGCCTTTGTCAAGTATTGTAGGCAGTAGAATTATTGATCCTTCAAATTTGATGACATTATCAAAATAAATGCACAGAATTATTCTAAATTCTTGGACACAAAATATTTTGTGTGATACATGTCACAAACAAGAAGTTTTAAGCAAAAGACTATTGATGCAACACAATGTACTTTACCATTTTGTAAAACTGTCTATTGCTATCTTGCCAAAAAATGATTCCAAAGCCACAGAATTAATGGAATATTCATCCCTATCCAGCACCTCCAGATATTAATTCGATAGAAAACTTCTGGTTTATCATTAAAATATGAAAATTAGCTATATTTTCTTCGGATTTATACTTTTTTATTTAGAAATAAGAAAATCAGCTATATTTTCATTAGATTTCAAAATTATTCAAAAATATGAAAATCAAAAATATTTTCTTCAGATTTCTATTTTTTTTATTCAGAAATGTTGCAGCGTACTTTACTGAATGCCATTCATACTTTTGTCTGTCTCTAGCGAGCCCACTCTGTACCCCCTACATTGTGGTCCAGTATCCACAGGAATATCAGTGAAGAACTGTTGATGATCAGGCTTAACTCTTCCCTGTCCTGGCTATACTTGTGAAATACTAAAGTCACCGGTGTCACCAGAAAGCATAATTAGCTTCAACAATTAACAAGTGAAAAGCTTGAATACAAAACACAATAAATCCAATTTCTTGAAACTGAGAAAAGACGTTTTATTATAGCTTGAATATGGTTGGATAAGACCCACCTTTTTCTTTTTTACACATTAATATATCACCATTTGACTATAAAAAGACAGAAATTTCAAATCTAGAATTTGACTGTAAAAGTGTATTTTAATTGATAGCGTGTTTTTTGTTTTGCAAAATCTGATAAATCCATTACATCTGTAAACTATGTTTCTACTTAAAATAACATAAAATATTGATAAAAAAGAAGAAAATTGTGATAAGAAAGTGTAAACAAATCCAGAGGTATCCATAAGTGTGATATGGGGTACTACCTACTCCCACCATCTAAAGATTCTATTCTTCAGCCTTAAAAAAATTAGGGAAGAATATCAATTTTCCAGATGATTTTTATTTGTACTGTTTCTGAATGAGATCTAACCCCCCCCCCGGGGGGGGCCACATCACATATTTTGGGGAATATCCTGTATGAGAAATTCTGATAATGCCCCCAAGAATATTTTTAAAAAAGAAATAGTATAAAACAAAGTTATTTAAATTTAAAACTTGTTTATTTTATTGAACAATTCAAATTTTCTTCATAAAAATATCATGTCACTCTTCATCACAGTCAATACAGCAGGTAGCACATGTCA